AGCAATAGTTCTGACCTTGGATTTCAGTTCTGTATCCTGGATAGCTACCGCCTCTCTTATCATTTAGCTCTTCCCTTACCTCTGTGGGGTTTTTTTAAGGTTTTTTTTTTTTTTTAATGTTTATTTTATTTTTGAGACAGAGAAAGACAGAGCAGGAGTGGGGGAGGGGCAGAGAGAGGGGGAGACACAGAATCCGAAGCAGGGTCCAGGCTCTGAGCCATCTGCACAGAGCCCGACGCGGGGCTCAAACCCACCAACCGTGAGATCATGACCTGAGCTGAAGTCAGACGCTCAACCGACGGAGCCCCCCAGATGCCCCCCACCCCCACCTTTGTGTCTCAAAAGCACTTCCCAAACATGGCTTCCACCTCATGGATATGATTCTCTGCAGTGTTGGCTTGTAGGGCTGGATTGGGGGTGGGAGAGAGGGCCCTGAAGGGACAGCAGAGCAGAATTCTGGACAGCTCTTCTCTGTAAGTAGAAATAGTGGGATTTACCCCAACTCTAACCCCAAAGGGCATTTTTGAACCTCACAAGACCGTTTCTCACATTTGCCCGGGTATCCCTGATCTCATATCCCACAGTACTCTATCTCATTCCCCTATTTCCTTGGAGGCTCCTTGAATGTCCTCAGACCTGTAATCTGGCAGTGGGTCAATAACGACAACTCATCAACTAGTGGTTCTCGACCTTGACCACACGTTACATCTGCCTGCATTTACCCAGGAAGGTTGAAACCCATCGCTGTCCAGTCCCCAACCCAGACTTCGTCGGGTTTGTTTCCAGATTCCAGAGTGTTGCGGGGACCAAGGAACGACCGTGAACATGAAAGTGGGACGACCCCACTTCCGTCCCAGGCGCTGTTCCCACCAGCAGCGTCTCACACGGGGACCTGCCTCCCTACTCGTGCCGGCACCACTCTCTCTGCTTTTCCAGCTACTGCCTTTGAGGAGTTTGCATCTGTCCCAGCAGAATATAACGAAGTGGGGACAACCGTCACTTTAACGCGGTCAAGCGGGGACCGCATCCCAGTTTCCCGAGTGTTTTCTGATCAGAATCCCACAACGTGAGATACGCAAACGTTTTAGTTGGCTGTGTTTACCGGTGCCTCTTTGTGCAACATTCCGTACACACAAAGGCTCCTCTAGTCTTGCGTGTTTATTCGGTCACGCTTGGACGATTCTGGATGTGTGTCAGGGATTTCAAGTCCAGGCCCCTAGCTCTGAGCAATCTGGAGAAGGTCACCATATTCACGTCCAGCATGGACCATCACTCCTCACAGCATGCTGTAGCTGAAGATTCATGTGAGAAAGATGATTTTAGGGGCGCCTGGGTGGCTGGGGCGGTTAAGCGGCCGGCTCTTGGCTTCGGCTCAAGTCACGATCTCACAGCTTCCTGAGTTCGAGCTCCGTGCCAGGCTCTGTAATAGCAGTGTGGAGCCTGCTTGGGATTCTCTGTCTCCCTCTCTCTCTGCCCCTCCCCTACTTGTGTTCTCTCTCTCTCTCTCTCTCTCAGGATAAATAGATAAATTTTTTTTTAAAAGATAACCTTACCCGTAACGATCCTTTCTAGTTCCCCCCCAATCTTTAGGATTGTAAGAATTTAGCCTTATGCTCTCTCCTTACTTTTCAGCTATACAACATCACGTATATGCTCCCTTTCTATTGACTTTTACTCATTTCGGAAAATATTTACTGGTCGCCAAATCATGCAGGGCCTCTTGGGGGACACCTGGCAGGAGCAACAACGTATCCGCTCTCAAGGGCTTCTACGTTTCTTTAGGAAGATACCCACAGACACATAGAGCAATTTAAACCCCCAGCTGCCACACTCACTCACACAGTGGTGCATGGTGTGCCTTGTGCACCCGGGGAAGCCCGTCCCTCTGTGCACCATTCCACAGCTGTGAGTTTTGACTACGGGGGACTAGAGGCCCTGCAGCTACGTGGTGAGTTCTCCGGGGCTGTGGTCTCCCGGCCACAGGGCCATTGGACAAGACATCGCGAGAGGAGGTTAGGCGTATGGCAACTGCGTCAGGTCATGCAGCCTTAACATTTCTAATAAGGAAAGTCCCACGTTTCTTTTCTACCCCCTTCTTACTAAGAATGTGCATCTGTATTCCAACGATGCAGAGTCTATGCTAGACGTCATCAAGCAATCTATTTCCTTTCACCTCAGTGGAGTGTTCGATGACGGAGCCCTCCCTGTCCTCTAGGAAGGGAGAAAATCCTTTTCGTTTGCTAGCGACTGGGAATGTGGTTCTCATAGCTCTTCAAGGTTTACTGTGGAAGTGACAGATGCCGCTGCGTAGTGGGGAAGAGAGGGCGGACGATGAGCAAGGGAACAGAGCTTTCGACATGGGCCACGACGGTGGGCCCTTGTCCCTGAAGGAGGAGACCTTCCGTTAGGGGAGTGAGCAGGAGCCACGCTGGACTTGAGTTGTTACCACTCTCTGGCCAGCACATCTACCAACTCTCCCGAGAGAGTCTATGCCCCTTAATGGTGGGCATGGAGGCTTGTGCGTCCCGGGGCCCCTGGGTGGGGGGCTACACCAGTGAGCTGAAGTGTTCCTAGGCTTTGAGATGTGTCGTGACTTTTGCCTACCTGCTGGTACTACTAGAAATCAGAGAACAGAGAGATGTTTCCCCGCATGGTTGCAAACTGCTGAGATTCTGCTTCCTCTTTTCCCGTTGAACCGCTGAAGTGACCGTGTGGTGTCCACCTCCCGCGGGCCTTCAGCCTGACCTTGGATGGCTGCTTACGGGACTCACGCGCAAGGGTGGCAAATATGTGATGCCCAAGCCTAGAGGACTCCAGAACTCAAGGGAGGGGACACCAAGTCGACCGTCACCAACAGGTGGTTCCTACTGAGTCAAAGTAACTGTTTCTTTTTTAGGAGTTCTTCTTTTTGTTATGTATTAGATATAACTTATTGCCAAATTGGTTTCCATCAAGCGAACTTTTAAGAGCCAAAAGGAATTTAATTTTATCTAAAAAGCAGCGAGCGCTCTCAAAGAGACAAAACTTATAAAATCCCAAAGTCCTGAAACTGGAAGATATGATTTCTTCAATATTTCCTTACATTTCTTTAATTTAAGACGTGATTACAACTTTCATAAGGAAACTAAAGGATAAGCACTGGCTGTGGACTGAACCGTGTGCCCCAAAGCTCATATATTGAAGTTCAGCCCTCAATGTGACTGTATTTGGAGGCAGGGCCTTGATGGAGGTGATTCAGTTTAAGTGAATTCATAAGGACGGAGCCCTAATCTGATAGGACTGATGTCCTTGTAAGAGGCCTCGGAGAGCTCTTTCTCCGCACACACAGAGAAGGGACCATCCGAGGACACAGTGAGAAGGTGTCATCGGCAAGCTGAGGAGAGAGGGCCCACCAGAAACCAACTCTGCCGGCACTTTAATCTTGGACTTCTAACCTCCAGAACTGTGAGAAAATAAGTGTCTGTTATGTAAGCCACTCAGTCTGGTTATGGCGACCCGTAATACAGCACCAGCCCTGAGAATTGCCTGACACTGGTTTTGAAGATCCAAAGGAAGACATAATCTTACCACACTGAGCAGTAATACAAGGGAAATGAAGTGATGAAAGAAAAACATAAGGCACCGGGGGGGGGGGGGGGAAGTACAGGAAATCTAACATTTCCATAAGAGGAGATGGGAAGCGATGTGGAAGGAGAATAATGATAATTAGGAAAGTAATAGAAGAAAACATCTCTGAGTTGACTCGATCTTCAGATTTTAAACACTTAATGAAAAGCAAAATTAGTAAGAATTTATATCAAAACCAGTATAAACAATAACAAAAACCAGCCCTACGTGCCTAAATGTACCCATCCTAAGGACAATGGATCTTCCACACTTCCTTAAAAAAGAAAGAGAATCATTCATTAGTTGATGGGCATTTAGGCTCTTTCCATAATTTGATGAATGGATAAGGAAATTGGGTTTATATACACAATGGAATACTACTTGGCAATGAGAAAGAATGAAATCTGGCCTTTTGTAGCATCGTGGATGGAACTGGAGAGTGTTATGCTAAGTGAAGTAAGTCATACAGAGAAAGACAGATACATATGTTTTCACCCTTATGTGGATCCTGAGAAACTTAACAGAAGACCGTGGGGGAGGGGAAGGAAAAAAAAAAAGTTAGAGAGGGAGATAGCCAAACCATAAGAGACTCTTAAAAACTGAGAATCCACTGAGGGTTGATGGGGGGTGGGAGGGAGGGGAGGGTGGGTGATGGGCATTGAGGAGGGCATCTGTTGGGATGAGCACTGGATGTTGTATGGAAACAAATCTGACAATAAATTGCACATTTAAAAAAAAGAGAAAAAAAGAAAGAGAATCAGATTAGGAACAGACTTCTCATCTGTAGCCCTGGGAATCACAGCTATAGTTCTACCTCCCAAAGGAACCCCATTGAGCGACAAGGACACTAATCCAAAAGCTGGACACGTGCAAGATAGCATTACTAGGTCAGGGCAAAAGAAATACATCTTGAAACACTCAAAGTCTCAGAGAGAACACTACCCAGGTGTCCTATCTAAGGAGAATTCATGACAGGAGAATGCAAACCAGATGAAAATCAAACGAGATCCAAGATCTGCAGGGGACTAGAAATAGCAGTGGGCTTCTCACTTCTAATGCATCGAGTAAAATCTAAATGGTTGGACTGGCAGTTAAAGTTGACCACGCATTTATACTTCTCTCTCCTGTGGCCCCATTCAAAGGATTGTAAGTGAATTTTAAAAAGGAAAAACCCCACAAGATCCGAAAGACAGTAGAAGAAACAGCGGCAGACGAGAGGTTTCAGTGGATGTTGGGCAATCAAAAGGTGGGTGGAGCAAGGTAGAGCCAAGTCGCTCCGCAGAACTGGACTCAAAGGCACCAGGGACAGCAAAGGGCGGGGCAGCACTGGGAGCTGGAACCAGGCAGACTGGTTAGAGCCATCTGCACCTGAACTGTACTCTCTTCCATCCCAGTGTCAGGAGGAAGCCCGGGGAGCTTGGCTTGGAAAGACTTACAGTGCAGAGGACAGCAGACACAGCGGAGTGTGGGAGGTAATGCCTGAAGCTTAACTAGAGGGTTTCAGTGAAAGTTTGCAGCCTGCCTGCAAGGACCTCCCCCAGAGCCTTCCTCGGAGGCTGGCGGTCAAGCACGGACTCCCCAAGAGAAAGAATGGAGAGGATAAGTACCCCCAGACTGACAAGTTAACACGAAGGTACGTGGGATAGAATGTATTGCTATTGGGTCTCGTTATTCACGCTGCTATCATATGGGTATTACTGATTTGTTCAGTGTACCAATAAAGAATACAGAATTGAACGCCTACCAAATTTAGAAGGTCCTGTTTGACCCTGGGTCAAGGGGAGAGGAGGGTAGAATGACATCCTAAAAATGACTTCCTGAAGATAGCTTATGATCACTCAAATGTCATTTTTTTTTTGATATATACAAGAAATGTGTGGCCTGGAGAATTTAGCATAAAGGACTATGAGAATATTGCTTCCCTGTGTTTTGCAACCCATGATATAAATGTCTCCACGAGGCAGAACTGATACACACATATGTGGGATGCTATAAAAATGCTGTTTTCATGGGGTTCAATCTACTAAAGAGGGGCTCGGTATGACAGCATGGGTGGAGAAAGGGATTGTTCTGGTTTCTGAAGCTCCAGGTTTCAAGTCCTGGAGAAATCTCTAACAGGAAATAACCTTGGTAACCCGGGAGCAAAGCTGGACTTTTAGTGGGTAGGTGTCTTTGAGCCACAATAAGATTTAGAATTAAGGATGGAAAGACTTCCGAGAATAAAAATCATTGTATTGGTCTTTTTCGTTAGAAGGAATAGTTTGTGTTTGGTGTCTTTGGTATTTGTACTGTTAGAATTTGGCAAATGATAAATGAAAACCTTGAACTCAAATTTAAAATGTCTGTTAAAGGATGTCCATTCTCACAACTTTTATTCAACCCAGTACTGGAAGTCCTAGCCATAGCAAACAGATAACATAAAGGAGTAAACGGCATCCAAATAAGTAAGGAAGAAATAAAACTTTCACTGGTTGCAGATGGCATGATACTCTATATACAAAAACCCTGACGATTCTACTAAAAAACTACTAGATCTGGTAAAATGAATTCAGTGAAGTCGTAGGATATAAAATCAATATACAGAAATCAACTGCATTTCTATACACTAAAGAGGAAGCAGCAGAAAGAGAAATTAAGAAAACCATCCCATTTACAATTGCACCAAAAAAAAAAAAAAAACAATAAGATATCTAGGGATAAACTCAACCAAGGAGGTGAAAAATTGAACTCTGAAAACTATAAAACGTTGATGAAAGAATTTGAAGACGACACGAACAAATGGAAAAACATTCTCTGCTCATGGATTGGAAAAACAAATATTATTAAAATGTCTATATGACTCAAAGCAATCTACAGAATTAATGCAATCCCTATCAAAATAACCACCAGCATTTTTCACAGAACCAGAACAAAGAATCCTAAAATTTGTATGAAGCCACAAAAGACCTCAAATAGCCAAAGAAATCTTGAAAAAGAAAAACAAAGCTGGAGGCATTACAATTGCAGACTTCAAGTTATGTTACAAAGCTAAAAGAATCAAAACAGTGTGGTACTGGCACAAAAATAGACACATAGATCAATGGAACAGAACAGAGTGTCCAGAAATAAACCCACACTTGTATGGTTAATTAATCTTTGACGAAGGAGGCAAGAACATGTAATGGGAAAAAGACAGTCCCTTCTACAAATGGTGTTGGGAAAACTGGACAGCTACATGCAAAAGCATAAAACTGGACCACTTTCTTTCACCATACACAAAAATAAACTCATAATGGATTAAGCACCTAAATGTGAAACAATAAAAATTATAGAAGAAAGCACAGGGAGTAACGTCTCTGACTTTGGCCAGAGCAGTATTTTTCTAGATATGTTTCCTAAGGCAGGAAAAACAAAGGCAAAGATGAACTACTGGGACTGCCTCGAAATAAAAAGCTTCTGCACGGCAAAGGAAACAATCAACAAAGCTAAAATACAACCTACCGAATAGAAGAAGATATTTGCAAATGATACATCTGATAAAGGGTTAGCATCCAAAATATATAAAGAGTTTATACAACTCAACACCAAATAGCAACAAATAATCCAATTAAAAAATGGGCAGAAGACATGAACAGACATTTCTCCAAAAAAGCCATCCAGATGGCAAACTGGTACGTGAAGAGATGTTCAGTATCACTCATCATCAGGAAAATGCAAATCAAAACCACAATGAGGTGTCACCTCACACCTGTCAGAATGGCTAAAATTGAAAACACAAGTGTTACAGAGGATGTGGAGAAAAAGGAACCCTCTTCCGCTGTTGGTGGAAATGCAAACTGGTGCAGACGCTGAGAAAGACTGTATGATGTTTCCTCAAAAAGTTAAAAATGGACCTACCATAGGATCCAGTAATCACACTACTGAGTATTTACCCAAAGAATATGAAACACTAATTCAAAAGGATGTATGCACCCCCATGTTTTTGCAGCATTATTTACAATAGCCAAACTATGGAAGCAACCCAAATGTCCTTCAAAAGATGAGTGAATAAAGAGGAGGTCATACATATATTACATACATATATCATATATATAACATAATATATATTATATATATAACATAATATATATAATATACACACACACACACACACACACACACATATATATATATATATATAATATATAACACAAAATCTCTGGCTGAGGACTTTGCAGAAGGTCCAGGAAGTCAGATTAGAGAAGAACAGGGCCTCTGGAAGAGAGAGACAAAGAGAATGAAGGGAACTGTTTACCCCAAGCTGATCTGATACGAAGGAGTACTCCGGAAGAAAACACTGCTTGGCATATGGTGGTTCAGATGCCACGTGTGGGTGAGATACAGGTACGTAAAAACCAGGCAACTGTTAATTTCAGAAAAACGAAAACAAATTGTACAGGAAAAAAATATATAATCTTCTACTTGCCACCACAAGGAACATTATTTCCATAACCACAATCATGTAAACATTGACTGTTAGTGAACGAACAAGAAACAATTCTGTAGACGTTTTGGGGAGAATGAGAGCGGGGGAGAGGGTGTTGGGTGGCATTATGACAACATTTTGACTCAGTCGAACAGGATGTTAATGGCTAAATTCTAAAAGCTAGTGAATAAGAAACTAGGGATATGAAAGTATTTAGAAAGCTGCAGGTTAGGGGCGCCTGGGTGGCTCAGTCAGTTAAACATCAGCTCAGGTCATGATGTCAGAGTTAGTGAGTTTGAGCCCCACGTCAGGCTCTGAGCTCACAGCTCAGAGCCTGGAGGCTGCTTCAGATTCTGCGTCTCCCTCTCTCTCTGCTCTCCTCCCCACTCCCGCACTGGCTCGCACTCTCTGTCTCCGTCTCTCTCTCTCTCTCTCTCTCTCAAAAATAAACATTAAAGAAAAAAACAAAACCCTGCAGGTTAATATCAGAAGTGAACAGTTCAAGGAGGCAAAAAGAAATTGCTTCTAAGGGAGCAGGCTTGAGGAAGGGTTGGGGGTGGGAGGGTAATTAATTCTTCTAAATCTTCTGGTACGACGTGATTGTGTGATGATTTGCAGGTACTGTGCTTACAACGAAAGCCCTTTATGCCTCAACTTGTCCTGGCCTCACCTGCCGGTTCCTCAAATCTCGGCCGCAGTGCAGCATCTGGCCAGCCTCCTGCAGGGGCAGCCTGACGGTATCTGGCCTCCGGCCCACGTATGCTTCTTACTTCCTGCCCTTGAGCTTCTCCCAGAGACCCAGGCAAGAGCCACCTCCCTTCTGATGTACGTTCCACCTGGAAATAGGGTCGAGTTGACACCCCCTGAGCCACCTCTTTGACCAACTGGTGTAGGGGGAGAATCCTGAGCTGACAGAGGCATCCCTCCCTCTTTCTCGGGAATGGACAGACAGCGCCAGGACACGTTCACGCAGCTGTCCAGGCTGTCCCCCGATAGAGCAACCAACCAGTCACCTGCCGTCATGACCAAGCAATAGTGAATCCTTGAACCGGCTCTCCCTCCTTCCCTGTTTCACCTCCTATCCCTCCCCGTCCCCTGGAGCAAACCCCCGGTTTGTCTTGTTTGGTCTTAGGCTTTGCTTTCTGGCAAACCCAGGTTAGAACAAAACTGATTAAAAACGTTAAAAAAAATTTTTTTTTTCAACGTTTATTTATTTTTGGGACAGAGAGAGACAGAGCATGAACGGGGGAGGGGCAGAGAGAGAGGGAGACACAGAATCGGAAACAGGCTCCAGGCTCTGAGCCATCCGCCCAGAGCCCGACGCGGGGCTCGAACTCACGGACCGCGAGATCGTGACCTGGCTGAAGTCGGACGCTTAACCGACTGCGCCACCCAGGCGCCCCCCAAAAAATTTTTTTTTAATGTTTATTGATTTTTGAGGGAGAGACAGAGTGTGAGAAGGGGAGAGGCAGAGAGGGGGAGACACAGAATCACAGAACAGTTTTCTAAATGTTTTCTGATCATTATAATCGTGGGTCCCGATTTATCTATTGTTTCCTACTATGTGGCCTGGCCGAGTTTGGGGGGTTTCCTCCTATACTAACTCCCTCTCCGCCATCCACTTACAGCTGTTACCACGCTTCTCCATTATGAAATATTAGTATTAGGGGTAAATACTAGTATATCTAATGCTCTATCATCCACTGGTCTATGAAATTAAATAATGGTCATTCTATCCCCATAAAACACTTTGCCAGCTCAGCCCCCTTCACTCTCATGGTGAAGGAAGCTTTATTTTTTTACTTGCTCTTTCCTCCCTCCTTCAACTTTGAACTTTGCTGAGACTGCCCCTAATTATAAATGTCACCCCATCAGCTTTCCCCTTCAGGTACTTACCTTTGGTTTCGAAATCCTACATTCATGCTTCGTAATTCTTTGTTACATTATCTTTTTCCGTTTAGATCTATTTTTAAAATCTGATTATTTGATTCATTTTCATTTACTTTGGCCTTTATTGAAAAGTTTTTAGGGGCGCCTGGGTGGCTCGGTTGGTTGAGCATCTGACTCTTGGTGTCGGCCCAGGTCACGATCTCAGGGTTCGTGGGTTTGAGCCCCACATGGGGCTCTGCACTGACAGTGGGGAGCCTGCTTGGGATTTTCTCTCCGTCTCTCTCTCCCTGCCCTTCACC